CTTAAAATTATCTGTTTGATTAAGGACCTGCCCGAAACGCTGTGCGTACTAGTGGCTTTACAAGAGTGTAAATACTGTACTATCCAATGTATTCTCACAAACCCAATGTACCTTCTTGTATATATATAAATAAAAATAAAAAAAATAAAAAATAAAATCACATCTGAAAAGATTGTACTCTGAGATCCATATTTCACCATCATGGTAGTCCTTTGTGTGGGTTTCTGTTAGGGCTGCAAACACTGCATTTGCCTCATGAAGGAGACCATCTATAAAGTGAACTTTGTTGGATTTGCGTGTTTTTATACCCTGGATGTTGGCAAATATAAATGATGTTATCGTGTTTGTGGTAGTGCTGGAAGCCTTACTTGGTGTTAATATCTGAGGCTCTGGTAAGGAGGCCACTGTGTTTGCGTTCAGGGTGTGTTGTTTTGGAAGTGATTCATCCAGTTTTGGTAGTAGGACGGGTGTTGTCTGGTGTAGTACCTGTGTGCTTGTTGATAATTTGTATTCCAGTCTTGTGGGTACCTTCGTTCCCCTCTGTAATCCTGTAGTGGTTCCATCTGACTGTTCCTCTCTCTTATATTTACTACTCTGTTTCTGCCTTCCTCTAAAAAATTTCCAGTAGTGTCATATTGATCTTCCCGTCTATAACGCTGTGTACCTCTCACGTGGAATTCCGGACACTGAAGATTGTAGCATTTTTTGTCCCTAATTGAAAATTGACATAATTTAGGGTGGAAGTATCTACACCCTGTTCCAAAACGGCATGTACCCCTCTCCAACATGTTCCTGCATTTTCGAGGATGCAGAAAATGGCATTTTGCTCCTAATTTTTCATATTTGCATATTCCTTTAGCGTAGAATTTGTTCCTCTCTCTTATATTTACAAATTTGTGATCTTCCCGTCTATAACGCTGTGTACCTCTCTGAAGATTGTAGCATTTTTTGTCCCTAATTGAAAATTGACATAATTTAGGGTGGAAGTATCTACACCCTGTTCCAAAACGGCATGTACCCCTTCCAACATGTTCCGCATTTTCGAGGATGCAGAAAATGGCATTTTGCTCCTAATTTTGCATATTTGCATATTCCTTTAGCGTAGAATTTGCAAATGTGTTCTGGTTTTGCGTTTCTCAAGGTATTTATATCTGTGACTGTCTTGTCTACCTCTTTATTGGAGCCATCTCCGTTTTCCGTCCCAATTCCTTCATCTATGCACTCTGTCTCACTGTTGCTCTCATCGTTTATATTACCTGGCTCTGCAATATTGCTGTTATTTTGTACCACAATAGCCTCTTCCTCCACACTACTGCTGTGGTTCTCTAAACTATCTGTTCCTGAGTTTTGGTCATTATCCAATGTTGTCTTTTCCCAGTCCGCATATATCACTGGTAGCCTGTCTGTGAATGATAATCTCTGTGACTCGGGAATGTTTTTCATCAGTTTAGTTATGTTCTCTAACATTAATCTGTCATCTTTGCAAACCCAGTAAATTCCTTGCCTTTTTGTGCATTCTGGAGCTAATTCTGCACAGCCCAGGTGAAATCTTATGTTACAGATGCAACACTGGACGCCTACATTACGTTTTCCCAGTACTCCCGAACACTCGCCACACCTCTCCATTGTCTGATGTATTGTATTGTATTTGAGGTTCACTGTATGGATCACTTGTTGATGTCAGTCCTTTTAACTCTTTATAAAATTATATGTATATATTTATATGTTTAATATTTATAATATTATATGTATACCGTATATTTGTAATATTATGTATGTTATTTTGTTCAAACTTTATGGCAGGTACTTAGCGTAGGGTAGCGAAGCTGGTCCCCGGTCGGTACAGGTGACCTCTTGTTGTCCCAGGTTGATGTCACCAGTTTCCAGTTACTCGATTTATAACCACTGATGCCGCCTCTTGCCACTATTCTATATTTCTAGTATTCTATATTTATAATATTCTATGCACGATTTTCCTTCACTTCCAACTTATATGTTGTTGTGATACCCGTTCCGCATCACTGTTCCACGAATAACCGTTCACTATTTTTTTCCTAATACACGCATGTACACAAATCCTCGTGCACTGGCTCACACGTGGTCTCCCGTTTATTCTCTATTTAACACAAAGTTCTATTGTTAATGACTATTTTCAATTTTCCAGCGGGTCACTATGCACTTTATGTATGTAATCAGTAATCCATGGCAGTAGTCCTAAGAAATCAAGGTTAATGTCACGATTTTAACGAAGCGCGCACGGTACGTCTTCCCCCTCCCTCGACCTCCAAAAAAAAGCACGGCGGAGAAACGTATGCACCTTACGGGAACACTGGTGGGCCCCATCCCCTTGCTGGTTGCGGGATGGGAATACACTGTGGGAGTGTACGTGGCGCCCATTGCAGACAACAAGTTGCTAGGGCTCGATTTCATGAAAAGATACGGTGCTATATCTATAACTATATCTATATAGTATATGAAAAGATATAGAAAAAGATATAATGATATTACAGGGACAGGTGAGTCCCATGATATTACAGGTGATTCCCATGCAGTTAGAGAAGAAAGAGGAGCCTAACCCTAACCTAGCTCCGTGCATCGCTAAAGTAGCATTGTCCCAATACACTGTTATCCCACCACATTCAGTGTCCAGGGTCAAATGTGAACTGGACAAAAGCATGCCCCAGTGTATAGTGGAGCCCCTGGAGGATGGGCAGGTGCCAGTGGTTCGCACACTCCATCAGGAGGGAGGAACCCTGAAGGTATGTGTACTCAATGTAACGAGACAGAATATTACATTAAAGAGGCGGATGCATGTGGCCAATGCAGAGGCAGTATGGGAAATTCTACCTGGGCCGGGTCCAGCGGTAGCAGCAAGGGCAGTGGGGAGGGTACCAAGTGAAACTCAAGTCAAACTACCTCCCCATATGATGACCATGGTACAGGACGTCGAAGAAACGCTGACAGCAGAACAGGCAAGCCAACTGACCCACCTGTTATGGAACTTCCAGGACATCTTTGCCTCAAGTGAATTTGACCTGGGATCGTTCAAGGAGGTATCTCACCGCATCGACACGGGTAATGCAAGACCCGTGAAGCAAAAAATACGACGAACACCCGCATGCTTCGCACAGGAGGAGAAAGGACACCTTCAGCGCATGCTCGACGCGGGCATCATCCAACCGTCAGTATCTGAGTGGGCATCGGCACCAGTTCTGGTAAGGAAAAGGGATGCGTCAGTTCGGTGGTGTGTAGACTATCGAGGGTTAAACTCTCGCACCATAAAGGACGTGTACCCACTCCCCCTAGTCGATGAGTGTCTGGACACCTTGGCGGGAAACGAATGGTTTAGCAAGCTAGATGCCAACTCGGCCTATTATCAGATCAACATAGCAGAAGAAGACGGCATTCATCACAAAGTACGGACTGTTTGAATTTAGGAAAATGGCCTTTGGTCTCTGTAATGCTCCGGCTACCTACGCCAGGGTCATGAACTTGGTGTTGCGGGAGCTAAATTGGGAAACTGCTAGCATTCTTGGATGACATCTTAGTGCTGGGTGATTCATTCCAAAGCCACTTCTCCAACCTAGCACAGGTATTTGAGAGATTCAGGACCTATGGTTTACGCCTGAAACCACAAAAATGTGCCCTCTTTAAGAAGCGGGTTGAGTTCCTAGGCAGGATGGTTAGCAGGGCGGGACTAGAACTGGGAAAAGAGGCAATAGACACAGAGGTGAAATGGCAGAAGCCTGGGTCATCCAAAGACGTGGAAAGATTTCTGGGACTGGCCAACTACCATCGGGCCTTCATAAAGGGATTCGCAGAGTTAGCCGCACCCCTATATGCACTGACCGGCGGAAACAGATTCGAATGGGGAGACAAGCATCAGGAGGCCTTTGCAGCTATCAAAATGGCCTTAACTACAGCTCCGGTGCTGGGATTACCTAATGGACATGACCCCTTCATCCTGGACACCGATGCCTCCGACTGGGCGATAGGAGCGGAGCTGCTACAGGTTCAAGAGAAGAAAGAGAAGGTAATTGCTTATGCCAGCTTCGCATTGACCCCAGAACAGAGAAGGTATTGCACCACGAGGAAAGAGTTATTGGCAGTAGTCAGGTTTACCAGGCTTTTCCGGCACTATCTCTTGGGGGGCCTTTTACCATTCGCACTGACCACGGCAGCTTGGTCTGGCTGATTAGGTTTAAGAACCCCCAGGGCCAACTAGCACGTTGGCTGGAGGAGCTGAGCCAATTTGATCTAAAAATCCAACATAGAGCAGGTAAAAAACACAACAATGCAGACTCTTTATCCAGGGAGGGAAGCGCTCAACAGGCATGTACCCACTTTCGCCAGGACATGCCAGTGCAGGACCTGCCGTGTGGAGGATGTCCATATTGTCGCAGGGCACATCAGAACTGGGCGACCTTCCAGGAGACGGTAGATGACGTCGTCCCACTGGCTACGGGCTCGTTCAGATGTGCATGTAATGTTCAGATCCGGGGGACGATTAGACAAGTGACACTACAGCCCCTATTCAAGACTGGTGGTCGGAGGATTCCAACTTGACTGTCTTCCCATGGGACCCTTTTGACGATGGCCGAAGGAAGCCTGCGGAGACACTGGATAAGGAGGAAGATGCAATGGCTCCAGAAGTAGTAAGCATTAGGATCATCACCAGAACAACGGCGGACAGACTAGGATTGCATTTACTCGAGTTATAGGAGGAGACGGAGAGAGACCCGGACATGAGAATGGTAAGAGAATGGGTGGGAGGCCGTCAACCAGCAGAAGGGGACCTGTTCGGAGCCAGTCCCGCAACAAAATACTACTGGTTAAACAAAGAGGCATTTCTCATGGAAAATGGGCTTTGGTGGTGGCACAAAGTAGATCAGGGGGGAGCCGCCCAGAAGCTTTTGTATATACCCACCAGCCTGAGGCAGGAGGTACTGAATCTGTGTCATGATATACCTGATATGGGCCACCAGGGCCGAAATCGCACAATGGAGCGGGTCAGATCAAGGTACTTCTGGTACGGGCTATCAACGGATGTTGCAAACTACGTGGCATCATGCCACTACTGTAGTATGAACAAAAAAGCATCCAAGACCAGCAGGCACGAGCTGCTTAAGTACCATGCGGGTGCATCAATGGAAAGGGTACACTTGGACATTTTGGGACCATTGCCTAAGACTCCGAAAGGCAGCGAATATCTCCTGGTGATGGTAGATCAGTTCACTAAATGGATTGAGTGTGTGCCACTACCGTCCCAGACGGCAGAGGACACCGCCAGAGCAGCACTCGATGGGTTCTTCACCAGGTTCGGGTATCCGTTTGAGATCTTCACTGACCAGGGCAGGAATTTTGAAAGTGACTTGTTTACGAAACTCTGTGAATTGATGCACATCCACAAGGCCCAGACTACCGCCTACAGGCCGTCGGCGAATGGGCAGGTGGAAAGATATAACAGAACCATCATGGATGCATTGCGGTGTTATGCCAGTTACCAACATGACAGCTGGGACACCTATATTCAACACATAGCAGGGACCATCAGGTCTAGTGTGAACCGACAGACTGGCTTCACGCCCAACAAGTTAATGCTCGGTTGGGAAACCAACCAGCCAATAGATTTAATGTACCCCCGGGAGGTGCAACTTCAATCAGATGCAATACCTTACTTAGCAAATTTGCAGAGGGAAATTGAGAAGGCGCATGCATTGGCACGGAAATCTCTATCTACAAACCAGGAACGAATGAAGAGATATTATGACCTACGGGCACGGCTACAGGTCTATGAGAAAGGGGACCTGGTTTACCTGCTGGACACGGCACAGGTGAAGGGGCAGTGCCGGAAGATCTCACCGCAGTGGAAGGGCCCAGGCGTCATCATCCACAAGTTCTCATCTTGTTTATTCAGGGTCAAGCTCCAGAATGACAATATCACAGCAAATCACGATAAACTAAAGAAGTGCAAGGACCTTACATGCCCGGGCTGGATTGAGAAGTTTAAACGTCATGTCACAGGTTCAGGACCCAGTGGGAGTGCCATACAAGGACCTTTACTGTGTGTGTGTCGGCAACCATACGATGGAAAGTTTATGGTGCAATGTGATATGTGCGCGGAGTGGTTCCATGGGGTTTGCGTGGGAGTGACTCTGGCGAGTGTACGGTCTAAACCAGAGTATGCATGTCCTCGGTGTGAGTCCTCGGTGTGAGCCATAAGGGCAAAAGAAAAAAAAAAAAAAAAAAAAAAGAAAAAAAAAAGGAAAGGGAAAGATAGTGTAGTGTATGCAATGTTGAAACAGTTCGTGTATAGTGCAAAGATAATACGGGTAATAATTGTAATGTTCGTGTATAGTGCAAAGATAATACGGGTAATAATTGTAATAGGACCCATTCATGAAACCAGAAATGTTCTCCTTTGTGGCTTTGCTTGCAACTCCATCCCCTGGTGTGGAGCTGGAGAAGACTTTTTACAAAAAGACATTTATTTATTTATTTATTTATTTATTTATTTATTTATTTATTTATTTATTTATTTATTTATGCATATACAAGAATGTACATAAGGAATGTGAGGATACAAATATGGTAATTACAGTCTTGTAAAGCCACTAGCACGCGCAGCGTTTCGGGCAGGTTCTTAATCTAAGAAAATTTTAAGGAGGTAAATACTTGCAAAATTTATGGACAAAAAAATGATAACAGTTACATGAAATGAAAAAAAAAAAGATGAGAGAAAATTGTAGGTACAGTATATTAAAGCACATAGGTAGCTAAGATTGATTGCAATGACAGCTTGAATGGTAGTTGACAAAAATTGGTAGGCACAATACAGCAGGAACAATATAAGATTGATTGCAATGACAGCTTGAATGGTAGTTGACAAAAATTGGTAGTCACAATACAGCATATGGCTAGCACATAAAAGAAGACAGCAATGAACACAATGATAAGGTTGTTTGATATTACATAAAAATTAGGAGATTGGGTAACACTAGGTACAGAGCAAATTTAAAGCTCAGTGTAGGAAACTAAGAAGATGAAGTTAGGTACTTTTTGGTTTTGCTTTTAAATAAGGCAAAAGTTTTACAGTTTTTCAATTCACTAGGGAGTGAGTTCCATAGACTAGGTCCCTTAATTTGCATAGAGTGTTTACACAGATTAAGTTTGACCCTGGAGATATCAAAGAGATATTTATTTCTGGTGTGGTGATAATGGGTCCAATTACATCTGTCCAGGGAGAGTTTCAGAGCATGGTTTGCATTTAAGAACAGGGTTTTGTAAATGTAGTTGACACAAGAGAATGTGTGGAGGGAGTTAATATTTAGCAAGTTTAGGGATTTAAACAAGGGAGCTGAGTGTTGTCTGAAAGCAGAGTTAGTTATTATTCTGATAGCAGATTTTTGCTGTGTGATGATGGGCTTAAGGTGGTTTGCAGTGGTAGACCCCCATGCACAGATACCATAATTAAGATAGGAGTAGATTAGTGCATAATATAGTGAGAGGAGAGCAGAGTTAGGAACATAATATCTGATTTTGGAGAGTATACCAACTGTCTTAGAGACTTTCTTAGTTATGTGTTGAATGTGGGTGCTGAAGTTGAGTCTCTTGTCTAGGAATAGGCCAAGAAACTTGCCATCATTTTTATTAATGATGTTAATGTTGTCTATCTGTAGCTGAATTGCATTTGATGATTTGCTTCCAAATAAGATGTAGTAAGACTTTTCGATGTTTAATATTAGTTTGTTCGTTGACATCCATAAGTGGACTTTTTTTAATTCATTATTCACAACATTATTTAGTGCATGTGGGTTGAGGTTTGAATAGATAAGGGTAGTATCGTCAGCAAACAATATAGGTTTGAGAATATTAGAGACATTAGGCAGATCGTTTATATATATAAGAAATAGAAGAGGTCCTAAGATGCTGCCCTGTGGCACTCCAACGGTAATTGGTAGAGTGGAAGAAGTTGTATCATTGATGGTTACATATTGGTGTCTGTCACTAAGATAGGATCGGATGTAGTCAAGGGCAAGGCCTCGGATTCCATAATGCTGGAGTTTAAGTAAGAGGTAGTTGTGATTAACAGTATCAAAGGCTTTTCTTAGGTCAATGAAGAGTCCAATCGAAAACTCATTTTTGTCAAGGGCTGAGTAGATAACGTTAAGGAGACTAATGATTGCATCGTTGGTGCTCTTTTGGGACCGGAAGCCAAACTGGCAGGGGCTGAGTATGTCGAATTTTACGAGGTAGGAATAGAGCTGTTTGTAAATAATTTTTTCAAATATTTTTGATAGAATGGGTAGATTTGATATTGACATGTTATATATAGTGAAACATTTCCCCCTCTAGTATACCCATTGTTCTATAGGGACAGGAGGAGTGTGGAGGGAACCACATTCAAAGTGCCCGCCAAAGGAGACATTTTATAGTATAGGCAGGACTGTACCCTGATTGGTGGACGGCGACTGCGCACAGCCTACCCGCGCAGGTTGGGAGAGCCAGATTTGAACTGCATGTGACCCAGCGCGGACGACGCCTACCCGGCACCACTGGCACTTAGGATATGTGCCTATAGGACTCCTAAAGAGGCTTTGACTCCCTCTATCCTATCCTTCCTGAGAAGCCTAGACTTGCTTCACCTGCCCTCCCAGACCTACCTCCCACGACGACGACAGCTCAAGGTGAACTATTACTGTACGTCTGTTGTTGTTCCACTTGGGGTCACCTCCACATTATTGTTACTCTGATAAGCTACCACGTGGTTGGTCGTCCCAAACCCCATAGGCGACCGCCTCCACAAATGCCATAGGTCAATATTCACCCCCCAACAATGTCATAGGTCAATATCCACACCCCCAACAATGCCATAGGTCAATGTCCACCTTCAACAATGCCATAGGTCAATGTCCATACACCCCAAAAATGCCATAGGTCAATGTCCACACTCCAACAACTGTATAGGCCTATGTAAGACCATGGTGGAGCAGAAAGCACTCGAGTACTTACGGAGGATGATGAGAGAGCGAGGAACAAGGTGGTTAGGTGGAACCAGAGACTCCTTCCTTCAACAGTTTTGTCTCTTTTTCGTGGTATATCCTCAATATCTTCAGTGGTGTGCCATCACCACATATTTACACTGCCATAAGTGTTTTGAGAGTATTGTGGGAGGGAAAATTTGACGGGTATTTTGGACACAGCAGACCGGAGCGTTAGTGTTTTCGTAAGGATCGTTTACTTCTTCTTCTTGATAGTAGGTGCAGTTTGCATGAAGGGTTTGTCCTCCCGATGACTGCACCAGTGCAGATGTTGGTAGAGGCGTTTATGTTGAGGATGATAAGAGTTTCAAAAGTGCTTGTTGCGTTGTGCTGTAGATAGAGGAGCGACGACTAGAACAGAGGTGTGTGTTAGAGGGAGACTTGCCGCACTGTAGGGCGGTGTGTTGTGTTTGTGGCGTCAGCTGATCCATGGTGCTGCGACGAGGCAGTTGTTTTCTGTGTTTAGCTGTTGCTGGCGCCAGGTATAAATGTGGCGCGGGTCAGATGTGACCCAATTTGTTGGTCGACTGGAGATATTTAGCCAGTGCTTTGACTATTTGGTATTTTTCTTGTAACGAGTGGTCACCGCCTCCTAATAGGTGCTCGATGGTAAAGGGTATTTTAAGTGAAATAAGTACTTGTTTGAGATTTACTCTGGCGCTATAATGTCGGAAGCAGTGAAGGAGATAGTGTTCGACTGTTTCAGGCACCTGGCAGTGGATGCAGAGTTCGTTGATGTCTGTTCTGTACTTAGAGCTGTGTGCTGCTAGTTTGCTGTGTCCCAGCCTTAATCTGGTCATCGTTATATCAAATCAAATCAAAAATCAAAATCAAAATGTTTATTTAGGTAAGGTACATACATAAAAGAGATTTTACAAAGAGTGATGGATTTATAGTTAGGGCTAGTACATACAATGCCTAAAGCCACTATTACGCAAAGCGTTTCGGGCATAAAAAACTTAAATGACTAAAGCTTAATACTAATTGAGCATAAAGAGTAAAATGAAAACATAGCTGAAAAAGCAGCACAAATACAATTCTGTCGACAAACAGCGCTCTTTAAAAAAAACAGACATTGGATGACATTAGAGAGGTAAGGTAGGTTACAGGGAATTTATTAGGTATAGCTTCGTTTTTATCTTAAACTGGTTGAGAGAGGTACAGTCTTTAACATGGTTGGGAAGGTCATTCCACAATCTGGGTCCCTTGATTTGTAGAGCATTTCTAGTTTCGTCAGTCAGTCAGGTGCAGTCACAGTGAGAGGTTGTGTTAGCTGGAGCTCCGATTCTAGTAACATTATTATTGCAATAATGGAAGGATTAGTGAAGGATTTGGTGAGTCTGGTTGGAGCTCTGAGAGCAGAGATGGATTCCCTGCGGGAGGAGGTACGACGGCTGAGACTTCTGGAGGAAACGAAGGAGGAGGCCAGTGTTGACGGGACCTCATTAAGAAGGACTGACGGGACCAGTATTAAGAAGACCTCGTCTTGGCAAGTTGGGAAAGACAGGGGTCTTAAGAAGACCTTGGCAAAACCGACAACTAATAGCCTACACCTAAGGACTTTTAATGCATTTGACGTATTAGAGGACGAGTGCTGTGGTGAACCTGTTGTTCAAAGAGGAGGCAAAGCAACGAGGAGCATTGAAGCGCAGGTCCCTCAAACTGTTCGAAAGGAAAAGGGAGAATCGAAGCGAATTTTGGTTGTGGGAGATTCCCAGGTGAGGTATTTAGACAGAACGTTTTGTGCCAGAGATAGGGGGAACAGATTAAGGGTTTGCTATCCGGGGGCTGGAATTGGTGATATTGTTGGAAACATGAATGATATTATGACAGGAAATGGGAACAAACCCATTATTTGTATTAGTGCAGGAGGTAATGATGTTGGACAAGTTACGAGTGAGGAACTAATAAAGAGATTCAGGACAGCCATTGAATTAGTTAGGAGCAAGGGAGGAATCCCGATCATATGTGGCATTCTTCCAAGAAAGGGAGTGGGAAATGAATGGATGTCAAGGGCACTTGGTGTCAATTGCCGGCTGGAAAGATATTGCAAATCAAATGCAATATCTTTCATAGACAACTGGGAACACTTCTATGGAAGAAATGAAATGTATGCTCGTGATGGGGTGCATTTATCGAGAGCTGGGGTTGTTGCTGTTGCGAACTCGTTGGAA